TGGGAGCCTTTGCGGCACTGGGGTAATGATGATGAATGAACGATGATTACAACAAACTCTTCATCGTTTCAAATTCCAGTAAAGAAACACTACCTTGTTGACAAACTACAACCCAATAAATATGTGTTGTGAAAAATCACTTTAGGAGCATCTTACGCCCTTTTTGGTGAAAATACCTCAAGCCTCAAGTCAGTGGCAACTGGCAATCAGAGTCCTTAGTCTCTTGATGCCTCTTGATCAGGTCAATCCTAGGTTAATTTGCGTCTGTGATGGGATTTTTCAACATTGACTTCATGCTTTTAATGATGAGCTATCGCCAAAAGGCTAAAACCATAAAACACACATACTAAAATAATGTGTCTTATAATTAATTAAGTATTGAATATTTGAATGAATTGATCACAACCAATCCGCACACAAATTTCGCCCAGGCGGAAGATCACTTCTCAACTCTCTATCCTCCTTTCTTTTGGCCTGCCACCTCCCCTCTAATATCCACCCTCGTATCTGTCTACTTTACCTCTCTTCTCCTCCTGGAGGCTGATATTTGCTATTTTGAACATGTGGATGTGGCTGCTTCAAGACTCAATTTCGTCATACTAGTTCTAGTGTAGCCAGTTGTGCTCTAAGACTTGATTTATTAACCTTGCTATGGTGTGACAGTTTGATACTTGAATCCTTTTGAGGCTAAATGATTTGAGACTTGAAAACCATTAATGGGATACACTCAAGTATGTTCTAGTTTAAATTATGATTTCTAGTTTAGTATCTATTTGTTATGGTGTGAAAACCCACTAAGACTAACCTATCCACAACTACATCCCTGAGCGGCAGTCAAACGGGGGTGTGAATGCTCAGTGCCTTTGTAGGGATTTAAATTGGACGTTTTCTAGATAGCCTTGCAGATGATTCTATGGCGGTCCAGGGGGAGTTCCCCGCAGCCTATATATAAATCGATGGTGGGGATGAGCCCATGTGTACACCTAACCTTCGGCCAGAATTGCTTTTAATAGGATGCACTCTAGTATGTTCTAGTTTAAATTATGATTTGTAGCTTAGTATCTATTTGTTATATTTCTTTTAGAACATACACTCAAGTATGTTCTAGCTTACCCCTCCTACCACCAAGCAAAACACCTAGGTAAGCCATTTGATTTCAAGAACATTACACTAAACAATACTCTCTCTGGCCTCTGGCCCTTACAACGTTCCCATCTTTCCTTTTTTGGTTGTCCCAAAAACATGTCACTTTTACTTTTAATCAATTAATTTCTGGTTCCTATTATTTGTCTCTCCTCTACACAAACATCAATCACACAGTTTTTACTTAATTATAAGGGACAAAGGGAGTAAAATCTAAAATAAATTCAAGCACATTCCATTTGAACTAAGAGATACATAAAGTTTACCTCAGTAGTATGGGGGAGGCATGCCCTGATACATGCCACCGGGTGGGACCCTAGGTCCTGTTCCAGGTTGTGGCATCTGTGGGGGATACCCATAATTACCACTATCAGGGTACCCTCCAGAATTAGGCATCCCAGCCGAGCTTGGTGGAGCCCTGTACATATTAGAACCCGGAGCACCACCCACACCACCACCATAATCCCCTGAAACACCGCCACCATATCCACCATTGCCTGAATAGCTACTTGCACCACCATACAGCCCTTGCCCTTGGTTCGCGTACCCTGGCCCAGCAGGTCCGCCCATACTTGAATTCAATGGGTTTTGATGCATCATTCCAGGCTGTGGCTGAGCTTGTTGCATTCCTGGAACAGGCCCTCCAGGATAACCTGGATATGGGCCCATTCCAGTTCCATGCATTCCATAGTTAGGTCCAGGCATAGATCCATGACCCATTCTATCGTCCCCGGGCATTCCAGCTCCTCCTACACTTTGAATTCCAGGGCCACCAGCAGGTCCCATATTTGGCTGCTTTCCTTTCTTGTTATCAGTAGCCAGTTTACACACAACCTGATTCCCGTCAATCATCTTTGTAGGCTCGAGCAATGATCCTCTAGCCCCCTCCTCAGTCTTGTAGACAAAGAATGCAAACCCTTTTGCCTTACCAGTCTGCTTATCGAAACCTAATGGGCCTTCCTCAATTTCCCCAAAAGTAGAAAAGAAATTCAAAAGCCTCTCTGAGGTGATTTCAAATGGCACATTCCCCACATATATTTTTCTAAGAGCAACATCTGCAGATTGTGAATTGCCTGAATTCCCAGCGGCAGCAAGCTGTGTGACCGTAATACGCCCGTCGATTTTCTTATTAGTCTCCTTCAGTGCCATAATAGCCGCATCAATATGTTTAAAGGTAACAAAGCCATAACCTTTTGACTTTCCCGTGTTCTTATCAGTAATCACGATAGCCTCGTCAAGCTCTCCATAAGCAGTAAATACCTGGCGGAGCTTCTCTGTGGTGGTCTCCCATCCTAGCCCACGAACAAAGAGCTTACGCTGAGTGGTATCCGCGTCCGCTACGGCTCGAACGGCTTCAAGGATATCCGGATGCCGGAGCACGGCGTTGCGCAGGACAGAGATGAGTTGGTCTTTCGAGAAGGGCTCGAGTATCCTATTGGCGTCATCAGGGCTGAGAATGCCAAGCGGCGGAGGGGGGCCAGCAACCTCGGCGCCTCCCGTGGTATCGTTAGGTACGGGATAGGCTGCTCCATTCTCTTCTGTCTTCCGCTTCTTCGTTAGATCCATAACGGAATTGAGGGCTGGACTGCCAAATAGAGAATCGTTCATACAGAAGAACGCAAACCCTAAGAGCGAGAGAGACTGTGGTGGCTAGAGAATAAACCCTAACTAGATTTTTCGTTTTTTTTGGAAGAAACTAGATTTTTCGTACGGGCTATCTCCGCGCACAATAATTTTTACTTTGCACACCAATGTTACAAGATCGCCTTTACTTTGGTTGCCTCGCGTGTTGCGTCAACCCAACCCACATCATCCCCCTTTTCTTTTCCTTTTTTTTTTTCCTTTTTTAATTAATTGCACTCCAATTGTTTTATAGAAAAATAATGTTTTCTTAAATTGAAAATTATAAAATCAAAACATTCATACTTAAATAAAACCTTTTTATATTATTTAACTTAATTGTTTTTAGGATTTAATAATTGACATTATCTGAAAAGTCATGAATAATCATATTTACAAAGTATTACGTAGTACTCCCTTCATACAGTTGAAATGCTTTCACTTTCTTTTTTTGGCAAGAAAATTCACATTTTATTAATGGAAATAGAAGAGTCAGAAGTACAATCGCTAATGAGGGAAGAGAATCGCTAATGAGGGAAGAAATTTAAAGCAATCTAGAAAATTAAGGCCAAAGAAAAACATCCTCCAAAATAAGATCTCAACCCCTTTCCAACATATTTGAGTTTTGCTTGCCCACACAAATTGCACCCATGCACAACTCCAAACCCAAGAAGAAGCCTCCCTAGACATGAACTTAATCTGCCCCAAACATCACCCTAAAGTCTCAAACTCGAATTCACCCCATATTGTCGATCTTGACTTAGGATGTTTTCTTTTGCACTGTTTTCAGTCCCAGACCAGACCAGACTTAAACAGACCAGACCAGACCAGACTTAAACAAACCAGACCAAACCAGACATAAACAGACCAGACCAGACCAGTCCAGACTTCCGTAGTTATAAAATACACAGAGACCGGACGTTTACCAGACCAGACCAATTCAGACCAGACCAGACTTAAACAGACCAAACCAGCAAATTTCAGTCCAAAAGAAAACATCCTTAAAGCCAAGCGCTTCTTCTAGGTATTAATTGGGACTGCAATTTCTAGTTTGGGTCACTTAAGCGATCAAGTAGTTCCCGATAGGAGTCATAGGGGGTGTTTGGAACTGATTCTGCTTCTGCTTCTATTTTTAAGTAAGAAGCAGAATCAGAATTTTCTGCTGTATGGAAAAGTGATTCTGTCTGAAGTGTTTGGTATTGATTCTGCTGTATCTAATAGAGAATCAGTTTAGAGTGTTTGGATAAGCTGCTTCTGCAAACTGATTCTTGTGTAAATTTACCAAAAGGGCATTATTTCTCCTCTGATTAGGCTTGAATTCTTTTTTAATGGCTGGGAAGTTGATTAGTAAGTGTAATGACTAATCACGTGTACAATTAATCATTTTTATTCACATCACTAAAATCTTACGTATTATTTTATGTTTTTAATTTCCTATTTTTTCCAGTTACAAATGATCCGGTTATAATGTTTCACATTTCTCATTTCTTACAAGTCAGTAATAATAATAACTCTTTGTATTTAATTATGACACCATACGATTTTGTCCACTATAAGACTCTTAAATCTAATTACATGGTCCAAATACAATTAATAATAACTTTATGTAATTTTATATTTTTGTAAATCTTAAAGCATTAAATTTTTATACGTAAAATATTGTAGTTACTTTTTAAATATATCTAAAAATATAATTAAATCACAACTTTAATTTTGAAATTATTTAGAACTAATTAATTTTGAATCCTGAATGCTGCAACGCCAAATAGCTATAATGCCTGAAATGCTTATGTGGTGAATTTGAAAATTGATTAAGGTTTGATTTCATTTTACCTACTGAATTTTCATTTCGGTTTTGGAAATGTTAATTAGTTTTCATTCGGATCTAGACTTTGAATTTAGGTTATTCCATTATGATACCACCATCTGTTGAGCACATTAACATCAACGACAATAAATAGCTATCATATAATCATAATTTAAACCATCAAAAGCAGTAGAGTCTTCACATAAATACATACTACGCATGCACTTGTGCAAAAAAAGTTGTCAATGCATGAAAGTTTTAAAGTATCTTTCACCAAAATCAAAACTAACGGTAGTTAACATTGATCGCATTTGCTATTGTATTTCTAATAGCATTCATGTGAACCACATCTTCATTTCTTTGACTTGATGATGCCTCCCCTTGTGTGAATGGAGCATCTTGAGGATGAACTCCTTCATGTGGGTCATATGCTTCATTTTGAGCAACTAAGAAAGCATCATCTTGAATACTTTTGATTCTAATGTAGTTGTGTATTGCCATGGATGCGACAATAATGTCGATTTGAGTACCAATAGTGTAGTTGACATGCATGTCTTTGAGTATAGACCACCTTGCTTTCCAAACTCCAAAAGTCCTCTCAATCACATTGCGCAAAGATGAGTGTATGTAGTTGAATCTCTCTTGTGTTCCATTTGGAGTACGTGCTCCTCTTGTTTTGCCTCTTCGAAAATCTTGAAAGTGATACCTTATATGTGTTCCCTTATAAGGTGCAAGATAGCCCTTAGTGTTTGGATATCCCGCATCAACTAGATAATATTTATCTATAAGAAGAAAAGAAGAGTTTTAGTATTTCAAAAAGGGAAAATAGTTCTTTAGTTGTATGACTTGTTACCTCCACTAGGATGAGGGAACTTTCCATCTTGCTTTCGTATTGTGTCGGTAAATATTCTTGTATCATGTGCGGATCCTTCCCATCCCGCCAACACATATGTGAAACACATGTTGAAGTCACAAACCGCCAACACATTTTGTGTTGGGTAACCTTTCCTCCCAATCCATTTTGTTTTCTCGCTCTCTTTAACACTAGCCTTCACATGAGTTCCATCAATAGCCCCTATGCAATTCTATATGAAATAATATATCAAGAAATACTCAACACCATTTTATGATTTATTACACATAAATAAAATAGTACTCACCTTGAAATATGGCCAATATCGTGAGTTGCGACGTATATGAGATGGACATTCTTCATTGTAGCTATTGTTGGGTTGAATTATGTCCATTGAAAGTCTACACACGGCTTGAAGAATCAAGTGAAAGTGTCGGTGTATTGTCTCACCGGAATGATTAAAAGTCTCTTGAACCAACCTATTTCCCACACCATGAGCTAATGTCATCAAGAAAATACCCAAGGATTCTTCAATGGATAGTTCTCTTGACTCAACAAAACCGTAATGACACTTAAGATCCTCACATAGACTAATAAATACTTCTTTGTGTAGCCTAAAGTCTTGATAGCATCGAATAGGGTGACCTTGTAAAACTTCTGTGATAAACATAGCTCCTGAACGAGCAGATGTACGGCAAGGAAGCGGCCTTTGTCCATGCAAGCTTTTCCCAAATAATATGCCAGAGACAACAATACCACACAAAATATCAATTTCATGATTATCATCCTCCTTAGTTTCGTTGTCAGATTCTTCCTCGTTGTGAAAACTGATTTTCCACTTACCCATTGTGAAAAAGCAAAAATAAATCTGAAATAATGAAATCACAATAAATACTTCAAAACAATAACAAGGTTAAACAATATTATCAAACAACCTTAAGCATTCCTAAACAGTGTTCTCAAACAAGGAATGCCTAAGCATTCCTAACTTAGGCAACATAACCACAACATACTTAAACATTGTTCTCAACAAGCTTAGAAAATAACATAATCTTCAATTCAAGACAATCATTAAAAAGATAAAACACCCTCACTCCTTCAGATTTTTTATGAGACTATCAAGGAGTACTTTCTTCGTCTCCAAAGTAGGTGGAAGCATTATACTCTGTCTCGCTTCTTTCTTCCAGAACAATTGGATGGCATCACAATATGCTAGTGTACCAGGTTCATAACCAGGAAATTCACTAATCATAGCAACACATTCTTCAAGTGATGGTACATTGCTTATCGGTGGTGCGGAGGTAACTGAGCTTCTTGATCCCATTATCTCAATTACCTTGTCTAGCTTGTCTTCAAACTTAGAGGCTGCAGAAGATTTACCCTTTTTTGCTCGAGAAGAGCCAGAACTTGAATGCCTTTTATGATAGCTAGGAGGTGGAAAAGTTAAAGAGACAGACTCTTCATTTTCTGGTTCATCATCTTCATCTTCAAACGATTGGGCATTGTCTTCAACGCCAACAGTATAATAATTTGCATCCCTAGCATTTTCACCAGTTGCAACTCTATCTCTAAACAGAGGTTCATAGTAAACTTGATAGATTTCCAGATTCTTGCCCTTGAGTTTGGCACATTCAGGATCCTCCTATTAACAAAAATCGACTTTAAAACTGCATATTATAAAACAGACAGCAGCTAGTAAATAAAACTGCACCTAGTAAAAAAACTGCATGTTATAAAACAAACTGCAGGTAGTAAATAATAAACTGCATGTTATAAAACAAACTGCAACTAGTAAAAAACTGCATGTTATAAAGCAAACTGCAGCTAGTAAGAAACTCCATGTTATAAAATAAACTGCAGCTAGTACTTAAAACTGCAGTTTATAAAACGATACTGTTTTGGATATCCATAAGTGCAGTTTATGTTTGGGGGGGCGGCATGAGAGACTGGGCGGCGCAGAGGGGCGGCCAGTTTGATGCTCCCTTTCATCGAAGAAGAGATATCTGGAGGGGAAGGAGAACACCCGATTCGTACTCAGAGAGACGATTTCCACTCTGGAATGGTTCGGCGAATGGTTTCCACCGCCGTTTCAGTTATTGGAATCGGCATCCGGGGGGGAGATCATGTGATGGGCGGAGATTCAATCGGCTGTTTGTCAGGCAGAAACCAGGAGACATGGCACGACGAACTGTCCGGTCGGATTTCACTGGCGACATGGAGCGGCGTCAAAGAAGAGGTGATTTCTTCTCTGGGAGGAGATGGATTGGAGCTCGAGACCAGATTCAGAACCTACGGCCCAAATGCTTGAAGACTGACTCCTGGAACGTGCATCAGGCCTTTGGAACAACAGGGGATCAATTTGATTTTTTCATTGAGAGTAAACTCTTTCAATTTAAAATTATTAACAGTGTTGTTCGCATTTCTGAAACTAAGCATGGAATTACATCTATTTTGGATCTCGATCTTGCTCGGGTTAATTGGCTGAAAGACTCTATACCGAAGGTCTTTTCTGGGAATATGTCTTTTAATAGGCTGGAGCTGAATAATTCTTTCATTACTCTATATGATGCTAATTTTTTTGGAGGTTTTATTCGCATAATTGAGAAGGGAGGTGACTCGTTATTTATTCCGGAGGGACGGAATGGACGTGGAATCAGCATTTTTCTTGCAGGGATTACAAGAGCAAGTAAGTTGATGAATGTACCTAAAAAACTGGCGTTTGAACAACATACACATGAAAAAATTTCAGACAGAGGGGGTTCTTATTTTGATTTGGATTTTCTACCTTTTGATGCGGATTTTTCTCAGCCTTGTCAAACTCAAATTTCCATCTCGGGTGCATTACTTCAGGCTGATATTGAACATTCTTCTCATCACTCTTTGAGTTTGATTTCATCTAATTGCTTTGAAGGAAACTTTGAATCTGATGATTATGCTAATCTTAAGGATTTCTTCCAGACTACATTGACAAATGGGGTGAATTCTCTTTCTCAGTTTCTTCTGTTTGAAATTCAGAAGATTCTTGCCTCTACTCTGGGTAATTTATCTTTGCCTCCGATAGATGAAGGAAAATCTTGTGAAGCAATAAATGAGTCAGAGCATCAAAAGAAGCTAGGTGTTATGGCATCAGGTTGCGGTATTAAGAGTACACATGCACATTCTGTTTGGGATTCTCCAATTTTTGCTGAAGATCATGCTTGTGAGGGTGGTTATGATGGTCCAGACTTGACATTTTTTGGGGATGAATTTATTGGGCACGTCTCGGAAAATGAAAAGAGGGTTCCCATCTCGACAGAGGATGACCTTTGGGACTCAGATACTAATGAAGTTATTTGTCAAAAGGCTATGTTGGTCACAAGAGACAATTGTTTGCCCACTCAGAATCTCAACACACAAAAGGGAATGTACAAAAAGAGAAAGCAAAGATCACACCTTATGAGAACTAGGTCTCAAACACGAGTGGAGTTTTGAAAAGTTGACTCAGGGCCTTAATTTGCTATGGGGGGGGGGGGGGGGTCACTACTCTTTCGGTTGGGTTTTAGCTATTTTCCTTTTTACTTTTTTTCTTTTTCTTTTTCGTTCTTTCCTTGTAATTTCTTTCATTTCATTTTCAATAAATCTATTTTATTAAGTGCAAAAAAAAAAAAAAAAAAAAAAAAAAAAAAAAAAAAAATAAAACGATACTGTTTTGTAAAAACTGCATGTTATATAACAAACTGCAGCTAGTAAATAATAAACTGCAGCTAGTAAGAAACTGCATGTTATAAAACAAACTGCAGCTAGTACATAAAACTGCACATAGTAAAAAACTGCAGTTTATAAAACGATACTGTTATATAAAAATTGCAGCTAGTAAAAACTGCATGTTATAAAACTGCACTAAAATCAATGAAAGTTTTACAAAAACTGCATTGTAGTATAGCTCCCCAAAAAATCTGCGGCTAGCAACTAGTAAGCACAAACTGATTTATAAAAACTGTCATTTTTAAAACTGCACTTCAGTTTAGCATCACTTTAGGCAAAAATAAATGAAATATATGTTCGCATGAATTAATAATAACCTGTATCACAGCTGCCCACCAATCTGGTGTAGCGTCAATAGTCTTCGTAACAGGATCCCATCCAAGGCCAGATTCTTTCCTCATGAGCTTATCATAAGCTCTCCATTCCTTCCTCATCTTATCCCAATGATTCTTAAGTTGAATTTTGCTAAATGTTCTATTCGTATGTTTTTTCATGTTATCAACCAAGTTTTTCCATCCCAACCTATTAAAGTGACCACCGGGCCTATTCCCGTTTCGCACCTCAACAAGACATACATCAATGAAGGTCATATGAGTTGCATGGTCCCAATGCATTTTTTTGGTTTCATTTTTTTGTTTCCCTTCATCATCAAAAGTACTAACCTTATGAGATTCCATACCTGAATTTAACATACTATTAGCAATGTACTTTCAAAATTATACTTCACAGCTCTGAATTTATCATTGTGAAAATAAAATGAGATTACCTTTCCCATTACAGTATGTGAATTATCAATATGACACAAAACTAGTGATATATATTGCCTCCTTCATGAATAATTTCATAGTTAACTCAAAATCATTCAACAGTTTCAAAGAAATAAATCTCACTAGAAGATGAAAGCAAAAAACGGTGAAATCACAAGTAAGTTGTCCGACATCACACACATGTCAATGACATTGAGAAGAACTAAGATCATTTGCTTCTATCTTATGGAGAAAATAACGGTTTTTATCAATGTCTAGTCTATAAGTGTGACATGTGACAAATGGTATGGCATGAAGTAAAAAAAACTTGGAGGTTAGATCACTCTTTTGTGATAATCCAGACGAAGACAGTTGTCATGTATCGATGTCCATCAAAGTGAGAAAGGAAACTCATTAGCCAACACCATTTACACCCAAAAAGATTTTAACATGCAGGTTTACCAGGCTATATGTGAGGTTTCATACTTTCATCAGGAAACATGGGTTTGGATAGTCCTCATTGTAGTTACAAGGTTACAAAGTGATGCACTCCAGCAAAGGTTTGGATAGCTTGAATAATTATTTTAATGGAAAATATGGTTGAGATGAATGGATGAGAATTTTACATGTTTGGTTTTCTCTCTATTGCTTCTGTAACTTACAGACCGTAAGTGCTACTTCACTAGATAAATTTAAGCAAATCATTACTGTGGTTTGTTGATGCAAAAAAAAAAAAAAAAACTAACCCAAATAGATTATTTGCAAAAGAAATCGAAGAACAAACACAATAATTGGAATAATAATCACATAAACAAGCAAATCAACAAACTCACAAGTTCAGAGTGTACCTTAGAGTGGAAGACAAGGACGCTGGAGAAGACAAGTCGCTGGAGAAGCCGGAGAAGACAAGTCACTGGAGAAGCCGAAGAAGAAAAGTAGCTAGATAAGCCAGAGAAGCCAAGTCGCGCCACCCAGAGATGGTGGTCGGAGAAGCTCTCGCCAGAAAATCCAAGCACCGGCCTAAAGGGTTCGTCACCTCGATGGTTGGAGAGGAGAAGCTCTGAAGGGAGAAGAATACCTAGGTTGGATCGTTGATTTGTGTTGTGTTGTGTTACGAAAGTGTGCTGAGGTTATTTTAGGAATAGAAATAAGAGAATCAGAAGCTAATTTTGAGAAGTTGCTACTACCCAACTTCTCCCAAACTGATTCTACACCCTTTCTAATAGAAGTTTTTTAATCAGATCCAAACACTTGTTAAACTGCTTCTGCTTCAAACTGCTCCTTGGGAGAGCAGAATCACTTTTAAAAGCGGATCCAAACACCCCCATAGTGTGAAGACTCCTCGCTGTCTGAGCCATCATCCACCTAAGAATCACCCTGTATTAAAACAATGTCCTTATTTTGATCATGATTCGGGAAAGAAACCTGTAGAGGAACAACATCAATGATTGTTCTCGTGCAGCAACCTTTCAAACAATTAAGATCTTGTTTGAAAAGAAGAGATGAAATAGACTCGGACTCCCCTATGTTATAATCAGTTGAATGAGAACAAATAATCCCTGAATCCTCAAAGCGTCTCTCCACGTTTTCTTTTAACCACTTCTGTCGTTCCAATAAAGTAGAACTGAATCGATTAAATCCATTTCCATGTCGCCCTTCAGGTACAATAATAGTTGTTCGGTTCCAAGATCTCATGTCCACAATACGAATAAACCCACCAAATCTATTAACATCAGAAGATAGGTTAATTTTACCTAAACCTGCAAACCTGGTAAACATCCAAGATCTCCCATTTTGAAGTTGAAGAAAGGAATTACAAAGCCAATTAAACTCATCCTCATCAAAGGAAATAGAGTGCAATTGATGGTCTTTCATTTGATATGACCGCACAATGGAGGATGCCACATCAAAACTAAAGGTTTTACTTTCAACTTGAAGAGACGAGAAGAGTATAAACGCCTGTCGAAATGGTGTGGTCTGCACCTAAGGACGCCTGGTCGTATCCGCTTGCATTTGTTGAGTCCTGAAATTTCCGAAATAATTCCGTCTGCACCTAAGGCCTTTGTTGGATTTAGGGGCATCCATAAATGTCATTCCTTACTCTCTGTATAAATCCCTACAACTCGGCCCATTACATCAAACTGTTGTAGTGATTCAACTAGCAGATCGATCTAATACTTACCCAAAAGGTGTATTAGAAGATGTGCTAGTAGAAGTAGAAAATTTAGTTTTCTCTGTTGACTTCTATGTCCTTGAAATGGGAAATGATGACCAAACGACGTCCATCCTGTTGGGTAGACCTTTCTTGAAAACTGCAAAAACAAAAATTGACGTGTCTAGTGGTTCATTAACTTTAGAGTTCGATGACCAAAAAGTAGAATTCAATATCTTTGACTCTAAGAAAAAACAAATTAAAAATCAATCCCTTTGTTCTTTAAATGTTTTTGAACCACCAACACTGAATATTTTTGTTGAAGAGGAACCAAAAAAATCTATTTTGAAAGGAAAATCACCTACTATTGAGGTGGTAACAAGGAAGAAAATTCAACCTTACTGGAAAAGGCCGAAGAAGAAAGCTGAAACGTGTCCCAACATGGCCTTTAAAAATAAAACAAGGGATACTCACGATCCCACTTAAAACAGAAAATAAAATAAAAAATAACGTCATGCCGCGACATTAAATCAAGCGCTTCTTGGGAGGCAACCCAAGTTTGTATTTTGATCATTTTCATTTTTGTGTGAGAAAAAAAAAATAAGGCCAGACCCGGCCGGGTAACTTGCAGAACTCGGTCGGATCTAGCAGAAAAATATTTTCACCAGACCTCCACCCGATCGAAGCAAGTCACATTTTTTCAAAAAATATTTTTTTTACCCGACCGGGCAACTCCAACACACCCGACCGGGTAACTAAATTATTTGGTACCGGACCACTGCTTTGCAAATCCGACCGGGTCAAACCACATACCCGGCCGGACAAAAAAATAAAATAAAATAGTCGAAATTAACTAATACCTGACCGGGGTACTGTATTTCACCCGGCCGGGTATTCATTCCAGTAGCTACTGGATAGGCAGGATCGAAAGGCCTGACCGGGTCTCATACCCCACCCGACCGGGTGAAAGGGAAAATAGCCTATACCAGGTCGGGCTTCCCTCTTCCCCTCCCATTCTTCTTCTTCTTCCTACGAACCAACCCCCCCAAATCCCCCATTTTTTAGCTCAAAAAGCTTTGAATCTACCCCATTTCTCCACCAAATCAACCAAATAACATCATTTTCTTCATCTCCTCTTCACCCTCTTCCACCCTATACCCATAAATCCCTCCCAAAACAACCAAATCACTCAAACCCATAAACCCTACCCCAAGGTCCGAAAATCCCCAATTTTGGACATCCAAGGTCCGAATTCTTCCCAAAAAACCTCAACCAACACCATATTCTTGCTCTTCTCACCATCCTCTTCAACACCACACCCATACAAACCCTCCAAACTCCACCCTAGCCAAAAGTCCGAAAATCCCTCAAAGAAAAACCCAAAAAAAAAGTCAAGTTCAATGGCTCCAAGAAAATCAAAAGGCTCTTCCTCAAGGGGTAACCGAGCTATACCACCGGTGCCGGGATATGAGAACGTGGATTTGGCTACGGAAGGTCAAAGGGAAAGCTTCATCAACCAAACAAAGAGGGAGGTAAAACAATCCCGTTTTATGTGCTTAACTACTTTAGCACTCCTATGGATTGATACCGTGATGCGTAACATATTTGCAAGAATTGGAATGACTCGAATTTTTGAAATGCAATATGTGACATATCCTCATTTGGTGTATGAATTTTTTAGCTCATTTGCGTATACAAAAGATGTGGATGATCATGCAAATGACACAATCACATTTCGTTTACTAAATGAAAATTGTTCATTAACCAAAAGAGAATTTGCTCAACATTTTGGCCTCCCATTGTTTGATGAAGCACGTACATATGATTCTCTTGTGGGGTATGAGTTGTGGAAGAGGATGACAGGAAAACCTGTGGTGGATCTTTCTAAACTGAGCGTGAACCGTGTGCAACATCCGGTCTTCCGGCTATTCTTAAAATTTTGCTCCAATTGTTTTCTCGGAAGACCGAATAATCATCACACACGGATTTGGGATGTGTGCGTTCTAACACAAGTTGTTTTGCCTGGCCCGGATCAAGTTGATGTTGCCACCATCTTATGGACTCATTTCTACAACGTGGCAACATCAACAGGACCAATTGTGATGGGGGGCCTCATCACACATATAGCCACCTTATATGGTTTTGTAGACCCCGGCCCCATCACCTCAAAACAGCTCATTTGCACGGAATGGCTTTTACAAAAGACACTAGACTTGGTCCCCTTTCACACGACACCAACCGGGGCACAAATCTATAATTGGCGCATCCTCCCACACACTTCCATCTACCTCCAAATACCCTCGGCCGACGTCCCCCTGAATATCCTCGATCACCAAATCGGGGATGGTCATCACTATTATCTTCCCGGGGCAATTCCAGATCATTATGAAGAACCCATCCAAAATGAAGATGATGAAGAACCCCCACTCATACCCGAACAACCCCCACTCATGCCTGAACAACCCAACCTCAAGCATTTCACTACACACCTTTCGAACAACAAATGCTCGATAACATGGCCATGCTCAACAACAACTACACCCAACTTCGGGATGAAGTTGGACTATATCGTACTGAGCACAGACAGAGCTTTGAGAGGATGGAGGAGCAGCGGCAGGCAGACTGACACAGATATGA